CGTCATCATCATCATCATCAACATCATTATCATCATTATCATCATTATCATCATTATCATCATCATCATCATCATCAGAATCATCATCATCAACATCATCATCAGCATCATCACCATCATCGTCATCATTATCATTATTATTGTTATCATTATTATCATTATCATTATCATTATTATCGTTATCGTTATCATTATCATCGTTATCGTTATCGTTATCGTTATCGTTATCGTTATCGTTATCATTATCACTATCATTATCACTATCATTATCATTATCATTATCATTATCATTATCATTACCGTTATCGGCATTATCATTATCATTATCATTACCGTTATCAGCATTATCATCATCATTTTTATCGAGAAATGTCCTTAGAGATAAGGTTCGCACGAAACTGAATCTTAATTCTAAAAAGTGCAATGCTTTTTCAGCCAAGCTACAGTTGAAATCGCTGAGAAACAAAATGGCCATCGCTGGAGAACGGTTTATGCTGTGGAGATCCGAACTTGATTGAACTTATACTAAGAAAACACTGCACTTTAATTATTTATTTCACTTATCTGTCTCGAACGCAACGTTTCACGGATTGGTGCACGCTTCTCACCCCAGATTAGGGTTATGGAATTAATCTTTCGCGTTATTCCGTGAAACGTTGTATTCCTACAGATACCTTTACGGATCTTGGATACGATTGGTAGCGAAGCAACATACCAACGAAAGAAATATACACTTTTACACGAATGTACAATTCCAAGATTCTGTAGAGTGAGACGTTTGGATAATGGAGGTTTCACCATATCTCTGCGTTATTTCTCTCGGACTAACCACCATTACTTTTTAATAATAGTCTACAATAAACTTAGTACCTATTATATTAACTATTTAATTACACATCGTAGAATATAGAAATGTCTACCTATATTCGAAGAATTTCTCATTGATGAAAAGTGTACGAAGTTTTCACTGCCTATTATTAATTCACCTGTTTTGTCGGAGAACCGATTATGCGATCGGAAAATTTCCGAATGAACAATCGTGTAAAGCGCTCGCGCAGTTATCGGCGAGCGTTTCTCTCGTAGCTCATACGTGTACTAGAAAAATGAAGCAGAAAAAGATTTTACTGTTTGTTATAATCAACACGATGCGAGACATATCGATTTATTATTCTTATATTATTTAAAAGATAAAAGGGACTTTTCATTTTTTCAGAGAAAACGTTCGAAGGAGAACTCAGTGTTTGCGGGAAAAGCTACGAAAAAGTGGTCAGCGGAGCTAAGAAAAACAGTTGGAAGCAACGGTGAAAGGGACTAAGAAAACCTGGTGGGGCAATTAGAAAGAACAGGTGGGTGAAAGGAAAGTATTCCCAGCAAGTTCAAAGAATTACCTTATGTTGATAATCATGATCTTGCCTGTTGTGCTAGGCAAATCGCGATTCTGATAATGTCCAATAATGATATCATTTTGACAGTTAGTTGAAAATTGAAGATCTTCTTCGCTTTTTACTTCAAATAACATAATATTTTCATTTAATATGGCACTCGTGATCATTTGACATACGCTATCGTGTCGGTTATAAAAAGAACATTTTCCTGTTTCACTTCATGTGTACTGGTTACGTTGGAAACGCTAGCTAATGATTGCGTGAACGCCTTGTATACGCGCAGAGAACGGAAGATTGCATTGAGCAGGTACGGTTAGGAGGAAATCATTATCGTACGCTTACCATATTCCGATATGCAGGGTGTTTCGTAATGAACGATACAATGTCAGTTATAGGGTTTTTTTTAAACAACAGCGAACCAAATAATCGTTACGCTCGAGAAGTTTTGGAGTTCGTGCGCTTTATACATGCCATTAATAGTGAGAATGGTACATGGAGAAATATAAAATGATAATGAATCGATATTATTTTCAAGAACATTCAAGTCATTTCTCGCTAGATACAAGTAATTTCAAGTAATTTTCTCGGAAAACTTGATCGTTGCGGGAAAGAAGTAAGTATTTTTCAACAATTAGTATATCTTCTGTCTTATTTTCATGACCGTAGAAAAATATTTCTTAATTTCGTACAAACGTAATTCGAAATTTAACATATACTTAGTCAAGTTTCATCATTACTTGCAGAATGGTTGAAATTATTTTTACTGTATGTTGTTAGGCTGCGGAGCCTTATGTGAATTGATTTTTACAGGTAAATTAACTTTTGGCTTCTGTTAAATCAAATAAAGTATTCGTTAATATTTTTTATTTACGTCTCTGTACAACGGAAAGAATGCAATTATCGTGTAGAGCATTCACGAATCTCACAAGCACATAAGACTCCGCAGTAGTTATAATTAATAAAAATGTCTGGCTTTTTAATCGCACCGAAAATTCTGAAACACCCTGCACGAATACAAAGACAACGATTCGGTGGCGTGCGGGAACACGCGAACGAATATATCCTTTTGCTTTTCTTCTTTAATAATAAATGGCTTTATTTAATAGAAGACTTTGTACATACGGATAATATACACAATTACAATAACTACCGATTGTGGATGCGTTTGCATTCCTGTTGAGGAGGTCGTACGACAATGTTGAGATAAAACAGGTGTTACATATTTAAAGAGCGAACTGAGTAGAAATATGTATATAGAAACAAATACGTGAACGGGCAACACGTGGTTTCTAACAACCAAAAGTATCAAGCTCGAAAATTCTAATTCTAATCAAACTTTCTAGGATAACAGAACACATTGCACTGAACAGAAACAATTTCTACAGTTAGCAGAAATTCACTGTCAGAGGGTGAAAATAATTTTTAAAGCTTTCGCGTGGAACTTGAAGTCTATGGAAGATATTGAAAAGGAGATTAAGGGAGAAGGTTGGTGGATGATGCAAATATGTGATTATAACTCGTGGTTGACAATCAAAAATGAAATACCCAACCAATTAAATTGTACCAATAACCGCCTTCGAAAAATGTTTGTCGTAAAATCAAGGAAGTATTGACCTTCGTCATAGATTAATAGCGGTTTACCGGTATAAGGGGCCAGTCCCAAAATCATCCACCATTCCTTTCCTAATCCTGCTCCGTAAAACTACCTACATTAATTCAGCTTTCTTCAATTTCTATGAAATTTTTGTAGCGCGTCACGCGAAGAGCATAAACATAGTTAATACGCAAATACAAAACGGAGGCCAAAAGTTCATTCTAGCCCTTCAGAAAACTTGTGCCAAAGGAAAGAAACGTTTCCCATGTGGTTAATCGTGTTCTGCAGTCCTACGAAGTTGCATTGCAATCAGAATGATCGAATTTGCAGCCTTTCTTTGTGAGCCAGCTTGACGAGGTTCGACCCCTACGGGTCGATCACTCGTTCCCCAGCGTGAGGACTCTCCTTTTTCGACGAAACGGACCACCGTCATGAGATCGGTTAGAACTCTGTCGTTCGTTGGCGACTGGGCGAATTTCTTCTAACAAATAATGCTGGACTCACCGATGAGCTGTGCCCCGAACGGTCCGCAGACGTTTCTCCTGACCGTCCAGCGACAAAGATGACGGGGACGTCGAGAACGACGGGTACCACTGCTAGTGGACCCATGAGGGCGGCGCGGCGGGAGTCGCGGCGCTGCTGGTCACATAAACGCCAGCGTTGCCAGTCGTTGCTCCTACTACGGTGCTCTGCGACACTGGACCGTTTTGTCCGACGCTTCGGTCGCCCACCTGAATCGCGTTTGTGCCCATCGCACCCTGCTGGAAATTGAAGTCCAACGTCCCATCCATCGACAGCTCATGCTTGATAACCTGGAATATAGATTTGATGCTCGCGTTAATGACTTAATTCGCACTCTCGAAGATGATGTCAGGAATTATGGACAGGTGGAATAGGGCAGGCTAGGGAGAGACGCTGGGAGGAGCTAAGAAATATTGATGAGAGAAATTATGATGCTTCGTTCGCGGAATATTTAATTAATAATCAATAGGTAGTTATGATCGGTCGTAAAAACGTTGAAGGTTCGACTGTGACGGATTTATTAATTTTTTCCCAAAAATGCGCGAGAAACAGACTTTAGTTATGCTCGGTAGAAGTGTATGATGTTGTTTTGTGGATTCGAAAACATCGAGGCGTCTAAAAAATTGGTTGTTCTCCTTTTTGTCAAAAATAAAATAAAAATGGGGCGTTGATGGAGAGTTGGCACTTGGAAGGAATGTGAGTCTGGTTTATCGAATGCCTCTTCTTACATGCTCTTTCAACGGTAATGTATTATTCGTAAATACAATCGCACAGTAATTAATTAATACCGTGAAATAAACAGTTCCATCAACGCACAGCGTGTGTAGTTTCCATTCAACAGGTTTGTATGTGCGTCGCTGCGTCGACAATTACCTTTGCGACGATTAAACGACGCGGATGAACTTCGTTGGACGAAGTCCTGTGATGTATGTGTTGAGTGGACTGTATCTTCGGGTCACTATCACACTAAGTGGTGAAAGCTGACCGGCCCACTGGATTGTGGGAAGTTGACTGTACTAGTGTTTAATAAGGAGTGTCGAAGTGTCTTCCCGTCTCCGACGTCGACACCTCGTGTTGGATTGTATGAGAGGTGCTAGAGGCGTATCCTTGCTATTTTCTAACTAACGCTCTTTAGCCACCCCCTTTCCGAGCG